TTCTCCCCCCCCCCCCCCTCCCACCCACACACACACACACACGAGCCACTTTGGCGGGGCGGGCCTCACCGGTGGCTCCTTGAGCAACGGCGTAGCGGATTTCCTCGAGGCGCTGCTCCATGGGGGTTTGGCCCGCCGGGAAACCGGCTGCGACCGAGGCAATGGGAATGTTGCTGCCCTGGAGATGCTTCTTGGCCTCTGCCACACGCGACGGATAAACGCAGATAGCACCTGTGGTGATGTTGAGATGGCTGCAGCCCAGCTTTTCGAGAATGTCGTGACGAATCGGGCGCTTGGCCTTGAAACAGAGGCGCTTGACATTAGTCTCCGTGTCATCGCCAGAGAGGGTGGTCAAATCAATACATGTTACGGCACGCAGCAACCACCCTGCTTGCCATTCCATCTAAAAGAAGCGGAATAGGAGTAGCGGAGCATCAGTGCCAGGCAACGCAGCAGCGATCCGGATCGATCACAAGAGCGTTGAAGGTTGGTCGACAGGCTGAGATCACAAACGTGTCAATAATGGCTGACATGCGAGCGTATAGCTTGCCTTGACTGAGCGTCGCGTCATGTGTGACTCTGCCCGTCGCTTGACGGCGGCCAGGTTGATCTGGGTTTCCAAAACCCAGCCCGCATCAAGCGGGATGCCAGGGTTGCGCTCATGCACCATCTTCTATCTGTCTCATAACAACCACAAAAAGCACCAGCGTATCAGCTACACACCCAACCACCCCTGTCCCCCATGACAGATCGGAACGAGCCCGAAAACACCCCCTCCTCCCCGCTGCCACTGCCATTGGACTCACCGATTTACAACACCACAACACCAAAAGAAAAAAAGAAAGAAGAAAGAAGAAGAGGTGTGCGCGTGGTTCGTAAAACAACAAAAGATTTGTTTTGTTGTTGACTCTCTCTCAAACTTTCTCTCTCTCTCTCTCTCTCTCTCTCTCTCTCTCTCTCTCTCTCTCTCTCTCTCTCTCTCTCTCTCTCTCTCTCTCTCTCTCTCTA